CGGCCGCCTGCCTGCCTGCCCACCCGGCCTGCGGGCCTGGGACCTGGGCGGCCGGGGGCGCAGGGCGTCGGCAACTCGCCAGACGTCTTTTCAAAGCAAGCACTCCTGAAAGCCCCCAAAGTGGCTAATTCTGCAGGGGGGAAACCCCCGACGGGAGTGGGGGCGGCGATGCTTCCAGGGGGTGGGAAGGAAACGCTAGGAAGAACGGGGGTGACCTGATACGCCTACCTGGCTCAGAGGGTCACTGGCCGGCTCCCCGCGCCGCACGAACTTGCCCCCACAGCACCCTCTGGTGGACGTGCTGTCCGTTCTTTCCGCGGTTCTCCCATCCAAGGACCCCTAACCGGGAAGCGTAGCATTTGGAGGAGGTCAGGTGTTGGGAGTCATTTGAGAATCTTTTGCGCCCGGGGTCATTTGAAAATCAGGGTCTTTGCTGACATTGATGGTAACTTCGTATTTGGGGCTTAAGCAAATGGGTGACTTACGTACCTAAAATGTACTACTCCGAGTCAATGGAAGTACAATAAAAAGTGAATAGATGTAGACATGGAAATAGAATAACGCGGCCAGAAGTGTTTTAGAAACCCCCTTGTCCAAGGCCAGGTCCATGTTTGCTAGCATGTGTTTTGGTAAAGGCACAGTGGGTACTTACTATTTGCTGACCAAGTCTGCATTCTGCAATGGAGAACCCCCTTTCCACCTCAGTGCCTGTCTTTCTCACATATTCACACTCATTCATTCATTCATTGAATAACTATCTTTTTTTTTTTTTAGGAGTTTTTGTTTTGTTTGCTATCAGGTGTGTGCGCTCGCTGGAGAGAGAGAAAGAGAAAGAGACAGAAAATGAGAAATCACCCCTGGGGGGATGGCCACAACGCAATTCCCTCTCCATTCTCCTCTCGGAATTTTGGACACGCAAGCACACGCATCTGGCTAAGTATTAAGTTGCATGCTGGCACTGAGCATCACTCAATCCCCCCTTTTACAAATCTTTTAAAGTGTCTCCAGACAATACCAAAGCAAGGAGCCAAACCAAGGTGTAGAGGGAAGCTTTTTTTTTTTTTTTTTTTTTTGCTTATAGGATGTGTGTGTTTGCCAGAGACAGAAACAGAAAGAAAAAGAGAAATCACCTTCCCCGTGGTGTGGAGGGTGGATAACCACCCTGCAATCCCTTCTCCTCTATTTTCTTAGGATTCTGGATATGCACCACACATGCACTTGGCATGATTTTCAAACTGTGGGATCCAGGATTCAGACTGCACTGTCAGCCATGTGAGGTCCAGCACCTCAACCTCCACGCCACCTGCTGGCCTGAGAAATATTTTTTAAAGAATTGTTTAATGTAATGTAATGTAATTAATTAATTAAATTTGTTAATAATAAATAAAGTTAAATTTTTTAAATTCTTTAAAATAAAAAGAGGGGGGCCGACAGGTGTTGTGGTGGTTAAAGGCACTGGACTCCTACATGGCGGACCACAGTTTGAGTACCGGACCTAGTGACTTGCTTTCTCATTTTCCTTCCCTATCTCTCTCTCTCTCTGATCAGACTGGATAATAATAATAATAAATTAATAATAAAGTTTAAATAAACATAATTCCTTTTTTTTTTGAGAAGTTTTTGCTATAGGGCGCATGCACTCGCCAGAAAGACAGAGAGACAGAAAGTGAGAAATCACCCCTTCAGTGGGGAAGGCCACACCACAATCCCTTCTTCTCCATTCTCTTGGGATCTTGAGCAGGCATACACACGTGCCCGGCATGAGTTTAAGTCACCGGGTCCAGGACTTGAACCGCAGTTGACTACATGGGAATCCTGTGACATAGCCATTATGCTGGTCTCCATAATTCTTTTTTTTCCCATAATTTTTTTTTGGAGAGATTTTTGCTATAGAGCGCGCGCGCTCACCAGACAGACAGAGAGAGACATAGAGACAGAAAGTGAGAAATCACCCCTCAGAGGGGATGGTCACGCCGTAATCCCTTCTCCTCCATTCTCCTCTCGGGATCTTGGGTACGCACACACAGGCGCCCGGCGTGAGTTTTAAGCCACCGGTTCCGGGACGTGAACCGCGGTCGACTACGTGGGAGTCCAGCGACATAACCATTACGCTAACTGCTGGTTCCTCCCATAATTCTTTAAAGTTAAAAAAAAAAAAAAACTGTTATAGGGCATGTGTGCTCACCAGAGAGAGAGAGAGAAAGCAAGGTTCCAGGTCCAGGACTTGAGCCATGGTTGGCTGTATTTGAGTCTAGCACCTTAACCACCATGCACCTGCTGGCTCTCAAGAAGTATCTAAAAAAAAAAAAGAAGAAGAAGAAGAAGAGCTGGTCTGCCACAAATGTTGGAAGAAACAGGAAGATGAATACTTGCATTCCTGGGGTGTTTAGGAGCAGGCGAAGAGCCCTGTAGAAGGAAATGCAGAGTTCTACATGAGAAATGAAAGTAGGGGGAAACGTGCCAGTTCCTAAGAGGTTTATCTGAAATGCCTACCTGAAGAGTTTGTGCTCACCTAAATCCAAATGATCTGAAGGAAAACAAGAAAGCTTCAATTTAACCCAGTTTCCTCTCAGAAGAAAGATTATGGTAACAGAAGACGAGTGGTCCAGTCCAGGGTAGAAAAAAGTAGTAAGTCGCTGGAGTGCTAGATCCTTAGTGGGGAGATTAATAACTACTGAGGTTTCCAACGAGCCCTTGGCTTACCCATTCGATCCATGCTTTCTGCGTGTACTTAACAAAATATTTAGTATCTGATAAATGCCAGCCACTGTTCTAGGTTCTGGGAAACAGTGGGGCTCGAGACGAATGAGGGGAACCAGCAGTTAGCGTAATGGCTATGTCGCTGGACTCCCACGTAGTCGACCGCGGTTCGTGTCCCGGACCCGGTGGCTTAAAACTCACGCCGGGCGCGTGTGCGTGCGTGCCCAAGATCCCGAGAGGAGAATGGAGGAGAAGGGATTGCGGCGTGACCATCCCCCCTGGGGGGTGATAAAAAAAAAGAGACGAATGAGTTCTGTTCTCACAGAACGACTACAACCAAAAAGACAATGCTATGGTTTTGAATGTCCCCCAAAACCTCACGTGTTGATGTGGTTGTGATGGGATTAAGGGAGTGAAAACTTAACCTGATTATGACATGCAAGGTGGGGCCCCTGAGAAGAGATTAGAACTGAAGTCACTAGGGCGGGGCCCCATGATTAAATTCTGCTGGGCGTTATAAGGAGAAAGAATGAGACCAGAACAGAGAGGCCAATGGACTCCACCCCGCTTCCCAGCTCTCACCCTTGTGATGTGATCGGACTCTACAAGACACCCCCAGAGGTGGCTTTGGACCTGTGTCTCCACACTGTGGGCTGAATAGATCTCTGTTTTTAAATATTGCCCAATGTCAGGTATTTTCTATTATTAGCAACAAAATAGGGTACAATGGACCATCCCAAGTATTGGTGAGAAATGAGGAAATCAGAACCCACATGCCTTCCTTGTGGGAATATAAAATGGTGCAGTCACTTTGGAAACCAGTCTGGCAGTCACTCAGAAGGTTAAACTGGAGGAGTTACTATGTGGCTCAGCAATGCCGTTCCTGGGCGAGTACTGAGAGAAATGAAAATGTGCTGCACAAAACCTGGAGTGCTAACTGCTAATAGCGGGGTTACTCATAGCAGTAAAAAATGTACCCAAATGTCCGTCAGCCGATGCATGGATAAACAAAACTCTGGTCTACCCGTACAATGGAATAGTATTCAGCCATAAAGAGACGTACTGATATAGGCTACAATATGAATGCACTGTGACAACATCCTGCTTCGTAAAAGAAAGAAGGTAGTTATAAAAGACAGTGGGTTGTATGATTCCATTTACGTGAAATGGCCCGCATAGGCAAATCCGTTGAGACAGAAAGATTAGCGGTTGCCAGGGCCCGACGAGGAGGGAGAATGGAGAATGGAGAACGGCTGCCTGCTGATGGTTTTCTAGTTTGAAGTGACAGAAATGTTCTGAAATTAGATAATGGTTATGACTCCACAACCTTGTGAATATACTAAACACTACTGAATCATACACTTATAAGACCGAATTTTATGGTATGTGAGTTACAGTGCAGTACTGTACACAGCTATATGTATCTTAATGGGCCAGCTCTTTAGTTCAACAGTAATGCACTGCTCACCAGAAGCTGGACCCCACATGGCAACTGCAGGTCAAATCCCTGGCCCAGTCAGCCTGAAACATGCTGGGTATGCGTGTGAGTGCCCAAGATCCAACCAGCAGGCTGGAGGACTGAAGGAATGGGACCATGGCATGATCAGACCCTGGGCAGGGAGCTTCTCTCTCTCTCTCTCTCTCTCCCTCCCTCTCATCGTCACATGCACCTACTCTATCATGAATAAAGGAGGAAAATATTGTCACTAGGAAGTACTGAAGCAGGCAGTGACAATACAATGAGATAGATAAGCCTAGAACAGTGCTTGGCATGTATTAGGTACTCAATAAGTATTTGTTGAGTGAGTGAGTGAGTGAGTGAATGAATTAATAACTAAGTGCAATGAGAAAGAGCATAGTGTCGACGGTAAGACAGGAGATAGGCACAGACGCAAGGATGCTAAGCTTTCTAAGCCAAGACCTGAAAGGTGAGCTGGAGGTTAGCAGGGCAAGGAGGTAGAGCAGGGAGAACTGTGCTTCGGGAAGAGAAGACAGTTCCAAGCA